TGTAGCTCTTAAGGAGTCGAAGCTTCTGGTAAAACTCGATGAATGCGAATTTGAGCTTTTCTTCGACTTCTCTCAGATTATTTCTACTGAATTTGATCTCGTCTTGGTTCGAGGAATGGAGAACGCCTCTAATGGTGGATTTAGGCGTTGCCTTAGTGTTGTTGATTTGGATTCGATCTAGAACTTCGATTGGAGCTGGTCTCGGACCTCCGATTTTGCTCAAGCTGGTTGTTCTGCCGTGATGATCTTCATCTTCGTCGGATTGATCAGCTTTGATGGAGCCTCGTTCTTGTATTGCCTCCATGTGAGGTTTCACTGCAACGAAACGCGAGAGAGAAATGCATGGATTTCAAATTTGGCGATTCGCTTTACGTTGAGACCGAAATAAATCGAATTTCATTAGTGACATCTTTTTTTTTTTCTCTTTTTTTGAGAAAGGCATTCATCAATCAGAGAAATACATCAATTTTTATTCAATAAATAAAAATTTATGCTCACTGTTTTTTTTGGGGATCAATAATTTATAAATGGATGTTTTGTTAAGAGATCTCTCAAAAGGGTGCACGAAAAAAATTAGAAATGGTATTTAACTATTGACCAATATAACATTATAAATGGTAAAATAAGTTGATGAAAAAATAAAGTCATAGTGACCCTATAATGATTTTATAGAAATTATGTTTGGTTAGGAATCTCACATTTAAAATGAAAGGATCTAATTCTAACATGGAGTAACGGCTTATACCTACACATATCCGATGAACTTCTAACTAAACAAAACTTTAACATTTTCTTATAGCTAGACAATTTTTTATAGTTAGAAGTTCATTGGATATAATACTTGTAGTAATGATATGTGTTTATGTTTATGTTTTCATGCAGTTTAGTTTTACCTACGTAAAATTTTAATATGTTTAGGCTGAGTTAAAAAATACTTGTAGTTTATGGACGGATTTATAAAATTTATCTAGTTTTAAGCTGAATTTCAAGCGATAAGAATTTTTGGATTATAATATTCGATTGAGCTGATTATTTTTTCGTTGGACTTTTGTTTTATTTTTCCAACTAGCATTTGATTTGAATGATATGTTAAGAGTGTTTTAAAAAAAAAATTATATGTTAGAGATTTTATTTTCGTAATAAGTTGTTGTTAGAGAAAAATTTAAGAGGGTGTTATTGGTAGTAGAAGACTAATTCAATCCATCAGGTTTAAATCACATCAGAATAAAAATGTTTTATGAAATAAATATTGTTTTATTTTATCTTTTGTTCATTAGTTTTCAATTTATCTTTCAAAACAAAGACGTTGCCTCGTTCAAAGAAAGCTTAAATAATGACTTAACTTCATAACACTATTTTCGTTTAAACAATAATTCAAAGACTCATAAAATAGTTACTGCGAGTTAAGAACAAAAAAAAGACATGATTTAACTGCATTGAATTAACTTACTGGTTCGTGTACTGGTGGGTGTAGAAGCAGCCATCGCAGCCGTGGATGTCGCGACGTCGGAGGCCAAACGAGTCATCTCAACTGTCCGTTCCTCCCATCCCCACCCAACAGGATTCTCAACCTTAATCCGAAACGCGATTAGAGCATCCATTTGCTTATTAAGCATAATCGCATCTTTCACTACTTCTTCAACTTTCTCTTTATAGAATTTCTCTATTCTGTTAAACTCATCGTCTAGTCGCCGGAAAAACACCAATTCATATTCTCCTCCTTCCTCCGCTGTCATCAAAAACGTTGTCTCTAATCCATGATTCGATTTGTTAACAAGTATCGGAGCTTTACCTGTTAAGAATCACTCATCAAAATTGAGAATTAACCTACAGTAACATAGGAACAATATAGACCAATACACTCATTACCAACGGGTTTCAAGTTAAAACTTGTGAAACTTAAAATACCTTCTTCAATGTCGGTTTCTAAAGAAGAATTGATTTGACCGGAGCTTTGTCTTTTCCTTCCCGGCGTTTGGACAAGACCACTAAATGCTCGGTATAGAGTCATTTTCCGGCTAAGCCCTTCACCGGAGACCGCGTCATGAGGAGGGGGAAGAGGGTTGGTTTTGTGTTTGAGTTTGATGATTTCTTTGAGAAGGGATTTGAGATAATCGTAGCTTATATAAGCTTGTTGCCACTCTGGAACCATTTGTGACGACAATTCTTTACCAAACTTCATCTTCTTCTCCTCTTTGTTTTTCGATTTCAAATTTCTTTGTCTACAATCTTTCTTTGTTGTGTCTATAAGTGATACAAGATAAATGTATATAAATAGACAAACACGAAGCAAACTGGTATGGCCAATTGTATAGAAATTTAGTTTAGAATAATTTGGTTATTAAAAACTACAACATGAGAGCAATGACAGATATTTTTTTTTTCACAGTCGATGTTTTTGTAGACCAAAGCTGCAAAAGTAAAAACGTCAACTTAAATGGACATTATTTTACCATAAATTAAGCAACTTGTAAAATTGTAGTTGGGGTTATATAGCAATTGAATACAATGTGCTTAAAAAATATGATTATGTGGATGGCTTAATATTTCTAAATACATACCTAAGGCGAACAATTACAGATCATTTGCAATCACCTAGGCCCTATATATTATTTTAAAAAATCAGAGAAAAAAGTCTAAAATTTTCTTGAGAAAAAGAACGAAACATATATTGATTTTAATTATTTTCTCTCAAGAAGTTCTAATGTTTTCTTCAATTAGTGTAATCATTATTTTTTGTTTTAATAAAACTGATATT